ATAGTGTACATTGACACGGGGATAAGAAAGGTAACTGGAGGACAGTTTATTTCTCAAATATACATGGTGTACAGCCATCTCTAAAGTTGGAGGTCCACTTTAATGCTGAGGTATCTCTGAAAAAGGCCTTCACATTGCCCTGGGCATTGATGGAGATGGCACCCCATGTTCAGGAGAGTGACCCTATTCAAGGTGCCTAGCGTAGCCCAGTAGAACCCCAAGGGGTAGCCTTTTAGGCATCAGCTGAACAAAATGGTGCCCAGTTTAAGCATGGAAGGGCCTGATTTTACCCCCACCTTCCTACCCCCTACACGCCCTCTAGAAAAAAAAAATTAAAAATGTGGCAGAGGAGGAGGGGAGGAGGAAGAAGAGTGGAATTCCCCTTTTTGAGTGAAGTTCGACTTTAATTCTCATTTCATTTATGTCCGGAAGTAACTGATTGATACCATGTAACGAGATACCGAGTACGATTGAAAACTCTATGTACTGCTAGGATTAATAAAAAGAAAACAAAATACATATATATATTCTGACACCAATCAAGACTTGATCTCCAATCCCAGAGGACGTTAGTTTTGGAGAAATGTGTCGGGCGGAGTCTTCTATGACGTCACCATGTTCCGGCCGACAGAATGACACTACAGCTGAATTGAATCTGTATATTGCCTTCATGCACCTTAGCTATGTAAGTGCAATGATTTACTAATTAAATTTTCGGGTTGCACTATGACGTCTCTTCTGTTTTAACCCTTCTCTACACTGTATGGAGAGTGGTTTAGTGTGAGGAATCCGTCCGATATGAGGAGTGGTTTGGTGTGAGGAATCTGTCCGGTAAGGAGAGTGGTTTGGTGTGAGGAATCCATCCGGTATGGAGAGTGGTTTGGTGTGAGGAATCTGTCCGGTAAGGAGAGTGGTTTGGTGTGAGGAGATGTGGTTTGGTGTGAGGAATCCATCCGGTATGGAGAGTGGTTTGGTGTGAGGAATCTGTCCTGTATGGAGAGTGGTTTGGTGTGAGGAATCTGTCCGGTAAGGAGAGTGGTTTGGTGTGAGGAATTTTTCCGGTATGTATGGAGAGTGGTTTGGTGTGAGGAATCCATCCGGTATGGAGAGTGGTTTGGATGTGAGGAATCTGTCCTGTATGGAGAGTGGTTTGGTGTGAAGACTCCGTCCGATATGGAGAGTGGTTTGGTGTGAGGAATCCGCCCGGTATGGAGAGTGGTTTGGTGTGAGGAATCCGCCCGGTATGGAGAGTGGTTTGGTGTGAGGGTTTGGTTTGGTGAGGAATCCATCCGGTATGGAGAGTGGTTTGGTGTGAGGACTCCGTCCGGTATGGAGAGTGGTTTGGTGTGAGGATCCGTCCGGTATGGAGAGTGGTTTGGTGTGAGGATCCATCCGGTATGGAGAGTGGTTTTTGGTGTGAGGATCCGGTATGGAGAGTGGTTTGGTGTGAGGAATCCGTTATGGAGAGTGGTTTTGGTGTGAGGAATCCATCCGGTATGGAGAGTGGTTTGGTGTGAGGAATCTGTCAGGTATGGAGAGTGGTTTGGTGTGCGGAATCCGTCCGGTATGGAGAGTGGTTTGGTGTGAGGAATCCGTCCGATATGGAGAGTGGTTTGGTGTGAGGAATCCTTCCGGTATGGAGAGTGGTTTGATGTGAGGAATCCGTCCGGTATGGAGAGTGGTTTGGTCTGAGGAATCCGTCCGGTATGGAGAGTGGTTTGGTGTGAGGAATCCGTCCGGTATGGAGAGTGGTTTGGTGTGAGGAATCCATCCGGTATGGAGAGTGGTTTGATGTGAGGAATCTGTCCGGTATGGAGAGTGGTTTGGTGTGAGGAATCCATCCGGTATGGAGAGGGTTTTGTGTGAGGAATCCGTCCGGTATGGAGAGTGGTTTGGTTTGGTATGGAGAGTGAGGAATCTGCCCGGTATGGAGAGTGGTTTGGTGTGAGGAATCCGGTATGGAGAGTGGTTTGGTGTGCGGAATCCGGTATGGAGAGTGGTTTGGTGTGAGGAATCCATCCGGTATGGAGAGTGGTTTGGTGTGAGGAATCCATGTGGAATCCCGGTATGGAGAGTGGTTTGGTGTGAGGAATCCATCCGGTATGGAATCCATCCGGTATGGAGAGTGGTTTGGTGTGAGGAATCCATCCGGTATGGAGAGTGGTTTGGTGTGCGGAATCCTTCTGGTATGGAGAGTGGTTTGGTGTGAGGAATCCGTCCGGTATGGAGAGTTTGGTTTGGTATGGAGAGTGGTGAGGGAATCCATCCGGTATGGAGAGTGGAGTGTGGTTTGGTATGGAGAGTGTGTGGAGGAATCCGTCCGGTATGGAGAGTGGTTTGGTGTGAGGAATCCTTCTGGTATGGAGAGTGGTTTGGTGTGAGGAATCCGTCCGGTATGGAGAGTGGTTTGGTGTGAGGAATCCGCCCGGTATGGAGAGTGGTTTGGTGTGAGGAATCCTTCTGGTATGGAGAGTGGTTTGGTGTGAGGAATCCGTCTGGTATGGAGAGTGGTTTGGTGTGAGGAATCCTGTCTGGTATGGAGAGTGGTTTGGTGTGAGGAACATCGTCTGATATGGAGAGTGGTTTGGTGTGAGGAATCTGTCTGGTATGGAGAGTGGTTTGGTGTGAGGAATCCATCCGGTATGGAGAGTGGTTTGGTGTGAGGAATCGGTATGGAGAGTGGTTTGGTGTGAGGTCTGTCCGGTATGGAGAGTGGTTTGGTGTGAGGAAACCCATCCGGTATTGATAGCACGGGTGTCAGTGTGGAATCGGGATACTATTTGCTCCTTCGATCTCTTGATTTGAGATCAAATTGGTCTGGTAAGAGGCTGATCTGTTTGGTGTGGCGAGCACTTGCGAACACCATAGCACCTTGTTGGACGTTACATTCAACACGCAGCAGTTTTTCTTCCTTCACATTGGATTTGGGACTCATTATGTATTCTCATGTTCCGGACATTGATTGATAGCACTTTATATGTTGATTTTTGTACACGTATACATACGAGTTTGTGTCTTTTTTTATTTCTTGTGTCAGGATATTATCGGTGTACAGCGCATTCATTTTATTTTTATACCAATCAAGAAAGGACCAAGCTTAGCAGATAGATGAGGGAGTAGGATGAAGGAGGGTGGTGGGGGTGGTGAAGTAAGATGACAGCCATCATGGAATAGCATTTGCCATGAAAGGAGCTTTGTAAGAAAAGGCTTCTGAAGTTGACCTCCTGCTGAGACCAAAGTGGCCGTCCATTCTGCACCTCAATCAGCCAGCAAAACAATTCCACAAATACGACGGCATCGTAAAGAAAAAGTGTGAAGACGTGAATTTGCTTCCAATATTTCTGGCGCAATACGGATTTTCATGAACTGAAACAGATGTCACGTGTCTGTATGTAGAGCCTGAGATGACATAGGTGGCCAATGGCACCCCTGCCATCCGGGAACCCCTAGAAGTGACAGTGCCATGTTTCCTAGTATTGGGACCTTACAGGGGCTAAATCGGATATATTGTATACGACGGATACATTGTTCTCGCATTAACCCCTTCCCGTCCGGCCCATGTATATAAACAGCCGGTGGGAGCAGTGCAGGGGTGGGTTGCCATTCATAAACGGCCATTTTAGACTGTGCATGCTCCCTGGGAGCGCGCAGCAACGCGATCTTGTGCCGCGTCCTCCATAAAATATTTTATCCATTAAAATATGAGGATTTTTTTTTATCTTTACATGGTTTTAAAAAATGTTACTAAACCCACAACAGTACAATCAGTCTGTAGATGCAGTAAAGCATGCTTGTTATACTCACTGTGCAACCTAAGGGGTTAATCCTCTGCATTATGTAAAAAGGCCGTTTGATCCTGTCTTCTCTGATCCTCCTCTTGTTCAAATGACCATGTCTTATCTCCTGATAACACAGACTGAACCCGTAGCCATTCTGCACTTGCTCAGTTTAGTGTGTATTGCTAAAGAGGTTTTTGTTTTTCCTTGGCAGAGTGCATGTGATCAGCACAGGGCCAATCGGCACTGGTCATCCTCCTAGAACAGAAAAAAAAACTCCTCCTACAAGCTGTAACTAGTGCTCTGCTGAACACTGATAGAAGTCACAAGACTGCTATATACTGCTGATGAGAAAAGGTATTTAGCAGTTTATATTTACTAAAATAATTGTATTTCCGTGTTCTGTGTAATGTGGGAGACCAGATATAGTGAATGCAGGGGTCCGGGGAGAGCGGATATAGTGAATGTGCAGGGTCCGGGGAGAGCGGAGTGAATGCGGGGTCCGGGGAGAGTGGATATAGTGAATGCAGGGTCTGGGGAGAGCGGATATAGTGAATGTGGGGTCCGGGGAGAGCAGATATAGTGAATGCGGGGTCCGGGGAGAGCAGATATAGTGAATGCGGGGTCCGGGGAGAGCGGATGTAGTGAATGCGGGGTCCGGGGAGAGCGGATATAGTGAATGCAGGGTCCGGGGAGAGCGGATATAGTGAATGCAGGGTCCGGGGAGAGCGGATATATAGTGAATGCAGGGTCCGGGGAGAGCGGATATAGTGAATGCAGGGTCCGGGGAGACCAGATATAGTCAATGCGGGGTCCGGGGAGAGCGGATATAGTGAATGCGGGGTCTGGGGAGAGTGGATATAGTGAATGCAGGGTCTGGGGAGAGCGGATATAGTGAATGCAGGGCTTGGGGAGAGCGGATATAGTGAATGCAGGGTCCGGGGAGAGTGGATATAGTGAATGCGGGGTCTGGGGAGAGTGGATATAGTGAATGCAGGGTCCGGGGAGAGTGGATATAGTGAATGCGGGGTCCGGGGAGAGCGGATATAGTGAATGCGGGGTCCGGGCAGAGCGGATATAGTGAATGCAGGGTCCGGGGAGAGTGGATATAGTGAATGCAGGGTCCGGGGAGAGCGGATATAGTGAATGCAGGGTCCGGGGAGAGCGGATATAGTGAATGCAGGGTCCGGGGGAGACCAGATATAGTGAATGCGGGGTCCGGGGGAGAGCGGATATAGTGAATGCAGGGTCTGGGGAGAGTGGATATAGTGAATGCAGGGTCTGGGGAGAGCGGATATAGTGAATGCAGGGCCCGGGGAGAGCGGATATAGTGAATGCAGGGTCCGGGGAGAGCGGATATAGTGAATGCAGGGTCCGGGGAGAGCGGATATAGTGAATGCAGGGTCCGGGGAGAGTGGATATAGTGAATGCAGGGTCTGGGGAGAGCGGATATAGTGAATGTGGGGTCCGGGGAGAGCAGATATAGTGAATGCGGGGTCCGGGGGGAGAGCAGATATAGTGAATGCAGGGTCCGGGGAGAGCGGATATAGTGAATGCGGGGTCTGGGGCAGAGTGGATATAGTGAATGCAGGGTCCGTGGAGAGCGGATATAGTGAATGCAGGGTCTGGGGAGAGCAGATATATTGAATGCAAGGTCCGGGGGAGAGCGGATATAGTGAATGCAGGGTCTGGGGAGAGCGGATATAGTGAATGCAGGGCCCGGGGGAGAGCAGATATAGTGAATGCGGGGGGGGGAGAGCGGATATAGTGAATGCAGGGTCTGGGGAGAGTGGGATATAGTGAATGCAGGGTCTGGGGAGAGCGGATATTGTGAATGCAGGGCTCGGGGAGAGCAGATATAGTGAATGCAGGGTCCAGGGAGAGTGGATATAGTGAATGCGGGGTCTGGGGGAGAGCGGATATAGTGAATGCAGGGTCTGGGGAGAGCAGATATAGTGAATGCGGGGTCTGGGGAGAGCGGATATAGTGAATGCAGGGTCCGGGGAGAGTGGATATAGTGAATGCAGGGTCCGGGGGTTTAGTAACATTTTATCATTCATTTTCAACATATTTGTATTGGGAAATGTTCACAACACCAATATACAACCCCTCACACAGGACCCTGGTTACCCACAACCTTCAGCTTATTATAAATATTTCTGAAATATTTTTGATCAATAACATTTTGCATGCTGATCTTGTGGTGGGGGTCCCGGCAAATTCAATGCATTTGGTGGGTCACTGAACCCACGTTATCAGGAACTGTGAGGAGTAAAGTTGCAACTGAGCTGAGCTGGGTGTAGTCAGGTGCAGTTTGTATTCTCCTCTGCAGGTGGCGCTTGACTGCAGGGTCAATGCAGGTGGAGGAGTAAGTTGAGAGGAACTTGATTTCCTCAGTCACATGGGGCAGTTATCCAACTGGATACTAGTGCCCCATGTGACTCTGGTGACCATCTTGGGTCAGGCAGAGTCTGTTTAAGACTACGACTCCCAGGCTTGGTCCACTTTATGCGTTGGTTTCTGCTTTGGTCATTGGTTTAGATGGCAACACTTCTAAAGTGAGGAGGCAATCAGTGATTTTTCTATAATTCCCTCTAAATATTTTTCTGTTAGAATTTGGTCCACTTTTTGCCAGCGGCTAGCGTAGGGATAGGTTCCCCATCTGTTAGGTACAGTGCTTAGAGATAGGAAAAGGTTCTGGGGGAGTAGGGAAAGCTCAGGGACTACGTCTAACTCTATAGAAAACCTTTCTCTTGGGTTGGACCGTCCAGGCTGCATTCCGCTCCTTGTGCAGAGAGGACATGGACAAAGCCCAGTGTCCTCTATAGGTGTCAGATGCTGGACCACCTATATCACGTACCTGGTGTTAGAGGCCAATGGAGAGAGGGCTTCCCTTGCGGCTAAGTTTCAGACTCCCCTGGATATGGGGCAGAAGGAGTCAGGCCCAACGTAGCACGGGTCGCCAGTAGGAGTGCTTGTCAGAGGTACACCCAGGAGCACAGCTGATGCACTGGAATGGTGTCTGCAGAGAGGTGGCACTCGTGAGAGGTATGCAGGCCTTCAGAGTAGCAGAGGACCACAGAGTAGTTGGTTCTCAGCCAAGGTCAGATGCTGGGTGGAGAATGGAGCAGATGTTGTCAATAGGATAGCTGAGGTCATACACAGGAGAGCAGGTGAGAATATCTGTTAGCCAAGCTGGGGTCAGATCAGGAGGGCAGGTGAGAATATCCATTAGCCAAGTCAAGGTCAGATCAGGAGGGCAGGTGAGAATATCCATTAGCCAAGCTGGAGTCAGATCAGGGGGGCAGGTGAGAATATCCATTAGCCAAGTCAAGGTCAGATCAGGAGGGCAGGTGAGAATATCCATTAGCCAAGCCGGGGTCAGATCAGGAGAGCAGGTGAGAATATCCATTAGCCAAGCCGGGGTCAGATCAGGAGAGCAGGTGAGAATATCCATTAGCCAAGCCGGGGTCAGATCAGGAGAGCAGGTGAGAATATCCATTAGCCAAGCCGGGGTCAGATCAGGAGGGCAGGTGAGAATATCCGTTAGCCAAGCCGGGGTCAGATCAGGAGAGCAGGTGAGAATATCCGTTAGCCAAGCCGGGGTCAGATCAGGAGGGCAGGTGAGAATATCCGTTAGCCAAGCCGGGGTCAGATCAGGAGAGCAGGTGAGAATATCCGTTAGCCAAGCCGGGGTCAGATCAGGAGGGCAGGTGAGAATATCCGTTAGCCAAGCCAGGGTCAGATCAGGAGGGCGGGTGAGAATATCCGTTAGCCAAGCCAGGGTCAGATCAGGAGGGGGGGGTGAGAATATCCGTTAGCCAAGCCAGGGTTAGATCAGGAGTCAGGCAGAGAAGACGGGTCCAAGAACAAGCCAAATCGGTAATAGCAGATCACAGTAACAAGGGAAAACAGACAAAGGTACTGGGGAGCCAGAGATCAACCAGCAATTTGGTGTGGCTTCCTTATAAAGGCCATCTGGCACCAAACTTGGCTAATGCATGTGTAACTGTGGGCATGCATGTTCCGGCTCGCTCCCATGTGGCAATGCGCATAGATTTTCATCAGTGTGCATTTCTGCGGCCATGCAAGGTACTGGCAGGAATGCCAGGTCTCCGACTACCTCTTCTGTGGACAGAGCCCTGACAGCCTGGATGCTGGATGCCATCCGATCTGATGAACAGAAGGGGAATGGATCCCCATCTTTTGGTGGATCGGATTGGATGTCGATGGGTGTCAATGGACACATATCTGTGTACCCCCTGCTGTTCCACAGAGGAGAATGGAGATTGGCTCCACCTAAAAAAATGGGCAGGCGGACCTGATCGGAATGTCCGTGTGAAAGCAGCCTAACGAGGGAACTCATTAGAACCATGTGGCAGTCAGCAAGTGATCCCATGACCTGTTCCAAGTGGCAGTTGCCAAGTGATCCCATGACCTGTTCCAAGTGGCAGTTGGATTATTCCAAGTGTTGAGAGATCTTAGGTCAGTTGTTCACAATGGGGGCTGCAGATGTCAGAGGCGTCTTTTTGATCGTACTAGTAGAATTATTATTACAGGTACTTACATAGCACCGCCAATTTATGCAGCACTTTACACATATATTGTACCTTCACATCAGTCCCCGCCCCCGAGGAGCGTACAATCTAAGGTCCCTAACTCACATTCATACATACACATACTAGGGACAATTTAGACAGGAGACCATTCACCTACCAGCATGTCTTTGGAGGAAACTGGAGTACCCACACAGTCACAGGGAGAACATGCAAACTCCAGGCCGGTGGTGCCATGGTTGGGATTCGACCCAACGGCCAGGCCAGGGGTAGGCAACCTGCGGCTCTCTAGCTGTTGTGGAACTACATTTCCCATGAGGCATTGCAAAGATTACAAAACTGACAGTTACAGCGATGACTTGCAGAGGCATGATGGAACTTGTAGTCCTGCGGCTCTCAGGTTGCCTACCCCTGGGCCAGGTGGAAGTTCTAACCATCCAGCCACGGTGCTGCCCAGAAGGATGACATGTCTTCAGAGTCCCGGATTTACACCAACAGATGAATTCAGGTGGAAGTTGTTGCTGCGTTGATTATAGATTCCGCTGGGACAAGAAGTGCGTGACATCAGTGTGACTACCCATAAGATACATCCGTCACGGCGCTGTCCCACCACACACACGGATAAAGCGGCGTAGCCGGGAAGGATCACACTGTGCATAAAACAAATATATTACTCAGCCTTGACTAATCAGCGGCACGCATTCCTGCAGATGCTCATATCTGGTGCTTTGTTCCCGAAGATCCACATTTATTACCGACTTTATTACAGAGATTTCTGGTGTCTGGATGTTGCTTGTGCTGGTAGAATGGGTTCTTCTTTCTTCTTCTTTTCTTCAGGGCTTTTTTTTCAGCGAGAACGCGGGGGAAAGCGGAGGAACGCGGGGGAACACGGGGGAAAGCGGGGGAACGTGGGGGAAAGCGGGGGAACGCGGGGGGAACGTGGGGGAAAGCGGGGGAAAGCAGGGGAAAGCGGGGGGAACGTGGGGGGGGGAAGCGGGGGAACGTGGGGGAAAGCGGGGGAACGTGGGGGAAAGCGGGGGAACGTGGGGGAACGTGGGGGAACACAGGGGAACATGGGGGAAAGCGGGGGAACGCGGGGGAAAGCGGGGGAACATGGGGGAACGCGGGGGGAAGCGGGGGAACACGGGCGAATGTGGGGGAACACAGGGGAATGTGGGGGAAAGTGGAGGAACATGGGGTAACACAGGGGAGCATGGGGGAATGCGGGGAAACACAGGGGAAAGCAGGGGAAACGCGGGGGAATGCGGGGGAACACAGGGGAATGTGGGGGAAGGTGGGGGAATGTGGGGGAATGCGGGGGAACATGGGGGAAAGCGGGGGAACACGGGGGAACACGGGGGAAAGCGGGGGAATGTGGGGGAACGGGGGGGAACGTGGGGGAACACAGGGGGACGTGGGGGAAAGCGGGGGAGCGTGGGGGAAAGCGAGGTAATGCGGGGGTATGTGGGAGAACACAGGGGAATGTGGGGGAAAGCAGGGGAACGTGGGGGAACACAGGGGAGCGTGGGGGAATGCGGGGAAGCACAGGGGAACATGGGAGAAAGTGGGGGAACGTGGGGAACATGGGTAAAGCGGGGGGGGACGCGGGGGAATGCGGGGGAACACAGGGGAATGTGGGGGAAGGTGGGGGAACACCAGGGAAAGCGGGGGAACATGGGGGAACACGGGAAAGCTGGGGGAACACGGGGGAAAGCAGGGGAACGCACCTCCAGCACTAAATGTATATAATGGCAAGGGGTGCTGAGGTGTGCTGGAGGCTCTATTGATGCTGGCTGCTGGGGGATCTATTGTCACCAGAGGGAATCTATTTTTGCATGGCAGACTATTGTTTCTGGGGGGTCTAACGCTGCTAAGGGAGGATCTATTTTTTGCTGGGGGGGGATCAATTGTTGCCGGAAGGGAGGTGTCTATTGTTGCTGGCTGCTGGAGAATCTATGCATGCTGGCTTCTGGGAAATCTGTTGCTGCTGCTGGGGGTCTGATGTTGCTGGGGGATCTATTGTGACCAGAGGGAATCTATTTTTGCATGGCAGCCTATTGTTGCTATGGGGGGGGGGTCTGATGTGCTGATGCTGTTGGGAGATCTGTTGCTGCTGGGGGTCTATTTTTGCTGGGGGATCTAAGGTCACCAGAGGGAATCTATTTTTGCATGACAGTCTATTGTTGCTGGGGGGGTCTGATGTTGCTGATGGGGGATCTATTTTTTGCTGGGGGGTCAATTGTTGCTGGAAGGGATCTACTGTTGAGGGAGGTGTCTATTGTTGCTGGCTGCTGGAGAGTATGTATGCTGGCTGCTGGGAGATCTGTTGCTGCTGCTGGAGGTCTATTGTTGCTGGGGGATCTATTGTCACTGGAGGGAAACTATTTGCATTTTGCATTTTTGCAAATGGAGCAGCACAGAGTGTCATGGAGCAGCACAGTGTA